ACTAAGGGGCAGTGCGCTCCCTCACCCTTTCCCACATAAGCAGAAGGGGTGGGGGCGCCCCCTAGGGAAGCCATCCCCTTTGCCTTGGGGGCCAAGGCTCCTGGGGTGGGAAGCGCCAAAAACCCATATAGGGTTTCCCCCTATGGCCGCCCCCTCCTAGATGGGATCTAGGGTGCCCCCTCCTCCCTCCCCCCTATATAGAGAGAGGTAGAGAGAGGGCAACCTCATCCTTGAGTACATCTCCATGCCACGACGCTGCCCTTTCTCTCCCTCGTAGCCCTCTTCCTCTCCGTAGTGCTTAGCGAAGCTCTGCTAAGATTCCACCACCACCACTGCCACCACACCATCGTGCTATCGGAGGACTCGAGATACTACTTCATCACCGCTTGCTGGATCGAGGAGGTGAAGGTGTCATCAAGTCATACGTGTGTCGAACGTGGAGGTGCCGTTCATTCGACACTTGGATCGGAGTTCGCGGGACAGATTGTGATTGGATCGTGAAGACGTTCGACTACATCAACCACGTTTCTTAATGCTTCCTCTTAGCGATCTACAAGGGTATGTAGATACAATCTCTCCTCTCATATATGTTCATCTCCTAGATTGATCTTGGTGAGAGTAGGAATTTTTTTGTTTCCCATGCAACGTTCCCCAACACCCGTGTCCCCCAACACCGCCGCAGCATCCACAGTACCAGTGGGCGCATGCGAGGGAGCCTTCGAGGTGGAAGGGTGAGCTGTTGCGCCGGACTTTTTCTTGGGCGCCATGGATGGTGAAGCTAGTGACAAAGAAGATGATGATGAAGATTGACACGTTGTTCACAACCTCAGGTTCGCGCAAGCGCTCCCCCTACCTAGCGCGCTGAAGATGTCGCAGTGGAACACGATCACCTATGGGGCCAACAACCCCTTGTGGTTCCGCGCAGGGGGGAGGGCACATTGCACAAAGAGCGAAAGCCATGGGACAACACGATAGGGGTGACGTTGGTGGTTTTTTTACCCAGGTTCATTCCGCTGTGAAGCGTAAAACCCTACTCCTGCTTTGGTGGATTGAAGGGAGGACCGCAATGGACATGCAACGCTCAAGCTCGACAAGGTTGCCTCGGGGAGAGCAACTACGCGCGTGTGGGTGTACAAGGGCCCGAATCCTTTTTAGGTTGCCATGGTCCTCCTTTTATAGGCTAAGGGGTTACCATAGTGGCAAATCAGTCATTATCTACTGATTAGATAGCCAACAGTGCTATCATACCTAACTCTGGCAGTTAGGACAAAGTGCATTAAATGCACTGCTAGGTGTCATGCTGTGGACGCACCCCGACAAGGCTGCCACGCCGCTTAACCATCTTCTACCTGCCTACGTGACACGCCTCTGGATGGGTGTCATTTAGGGGGGGTCTTTCTTTCAAATGGCTGCCACGTGCCAAATGACAACCACTTAATCACTAGGGGGCTCGACACCACACTGAAGAGTGACTTGCGTCATTGTGTGGTGGATGGGCAAAGTCTTGGCGGGGCGACTCGCCCTTAGCGGCCCCGGCAAGCCCGCTGGGGAAATCTCAGGACTTGTTCTTAGAGAGGTCTTGACCTGACCAGGCTCGCCTGCCCGGTAAGGGAGGTTTTTCCTTAGTGACATCTTGTTTCCCTGGCTTGTCTTGGTCTTCTTGATCCACACTTTGATTCCTCAAAGAGCTATCTCTCTGGCTTGGCCTTTGTCTTGGGAGCTTGTTGCTGCTGTACCCCTGCTGCTGCGCCTGTGTACAATCTAGGCAACATACATGAAGGTTTGTTGCACCGACATAGATAAATTAATGACGGTGAACCCATGAAAGCAATAACCCTTTTATTAGCAGGTAGGTATAGATAACAATTACATGTACATTGATATGAACCTAAGATCCAAAAAAATATAAAGTAACTCATATGACTAAGAATTACAATGAAATATCTTGTAAATGCCTTCTTCGTGGTATCAACCTTTGCTCAAATAAATACTTCAATGACTTTGGTAAAGAGTCTGCAATTAGACTGGAGCAACGATATTGTCATTCTTTCACCCGCACGAACATTACCAATAATGATTTTCGAAAGCACCTTGAGTTGCCCATCAAGAAAGATGGGAAGCCTTCATCGATGAACGTATTTGGTCTGGGAATGATCCCCTAGAAGTTCATGTCACTGAATCACTATAGCTTCACCATCATGCTGATGAAAGATTTCACCTCCATAAAGAAGCAAACCAATAAAAAAGCTTGACACAATAACATAAACTCATTAGATCCGAACAATCGGATCTGTGAGGACAGAAACTCTCCAACCTCATGGCACCGCCAAAAAAATAAGAGAAAACTTATTCTCACACAACTACAAAGAACATAGAGGTCTCGAAGATCCGAGGTCCCCCTACCTCGCAGCGAAGATGGCAGCTGAAGGCGAGGGGACCTAAATTTCTTAGATGGCGATGTCGACTATGACACGAAGGAATAAAAATAAAATAAATAAAAGGGTCATGCGGCGAAATCACTAATCGAGGAGTACTCCTTGCAAAGATCACTCCCACCTCCCTAGGTTGTGAAAAGTGGCGCTGTGCATGTGCGCCACTTCTCAGAACCTGGGATTTTTCTCTTTTTTTGTAGATCCGTTTATTCAAAATGTTTTATCTCTTAAACCATGCGTCCAAATTTTGGACCGTTTTCACCGTTCGATTACTCGCGTCAAGATCTTCAAAACTAGATCCCATGTTGATAGGTTTGACAAACTTTCTTCAAGAAAAAACCGGTAAAAAACCAAACCGAAAGCACAGTTTTTCCTTTCTGAAAGAGGCATGGTTGTGCCTCTCGCGAAATCACAACCCGTGGGGAAGCAAAACGGTGCCTCTTGTGGAAGGAAAAAAAACGCATTCTTTTCTCGTTTTTGAGAGGTATGGCTGTGCCTCTCGAAAGCACAACTGAGACTCTTGCAGAAGCAAAACCGTGCCTCTAGCGGAAGAAAAAAAACACGTTTTTTCCCTTTCCAAGAGGCACAGCCGTGCCTCTCGCGAAAGGAAAAAATAAAACATAAAACATATTTTTTTTGTTTCCGAGAGGCACGGTCGTGCCTCTCGCGAAAACAAAATCATGCCTCTCTCGGAAGCAAAACCGTGCATCTGACGAAAGAAAAAAAGCAAACAACACGTTTTTTGTCCGTTTTCGAGAGGCATAGCTGTGCCTCTCGCAAAAGCAAAACCGTGCCTCTCACGAAAAACCAGCATTTTTTGCTCAATTTTTTTTCCTGAATTTCTTTTCTGGTCCAAAAGCTGAGGAAGACCAGTGAAAAATCAAAAAGTCCATTTTTCTAAAGAAAAAACCCGTTTAAAATCCGAAAATATGTGCAAAAAAATAAATAAAAAATCTAGAGAAAGCGTCCAGAGCGCCACACGTGACGGCAGCTAAGAGTGCATCAAGTGACACTAATCATTGTGAGGCTTCGAACGAGCGCGTGCCCAGCCTCCAGGCCCAGACACGGCCCGTTTAGCCCGTGCCCGCGTGCTACCAGGCCGGCCCAGCTAGCACAGCCCGTTTGGCCAGCTCTGATTGGCCCCGCCCGTCTCTCTTCTTCGTTTGTCTCAAAAAAAAAGTATCTCTTCTTCGTTTCCTCA